GGCACGTAGTGCACTATATAGGGGACAGGGAACGATTCAAACAGTGTAAATATGCTTTCCATTTAGGAAAATAAGAAGTCTGGTTTCACGCTGTGTCACGCTAACCACCGCACCGCACACACACTCTGCTCCGGTCCAGAGACACGATAGCACGGAGCGGATCACATGCACGAGTCGTCGCAGACCACAGAATGTACCGGAGCTATTTGAATTCTACACAGAATGCTATATTTTATAGCAATATGGATGAGATTGTGGGTGGCATACCCTGTCAAATGGGGCTTTACGGAGCTCAACGGCTCTGAACGGCTCTAGCCCAAGCTGTGATATAAACGAATGCTATTGGCTATTTTAAAAAGGGGCGGGGCTGCTTGATATGTCCCGCCCTGTCTTCCTGTTTCATTTAAAATGACGTCAACACTTAGAGTAACGCTGCGTGTTTCTAAGCATTTCAGGGGACCTTTAAAGGTACATATTAATACCTAAATACTACATATTAGTACCTTTTGAAAGATATCACCCTAGTGACAGATTTTATACCTTTTTTCCTGAAAACCCTGTAGGTTTCTTAAAACCTGCTTGGTGAACCAGCTTCAAAAATGGATGACCAGGTTTTACTGGTAACACTTTACAATAAGGTTCAGTTTATTAAGATTAGCTAATGCATTATTAGGTATCATGAACTAATAATGAAGAGTTTTTGACAGCATTTATTAATCTGGGTTAATGTTAGTTTAAAAATTATACTATTGTTTGTGAATTTTTTGATTGTTCATAATGCATTGATGTTAATATAATATTTAATTTAATGTAAATTCATACTTAATATACACTACAGTTTAAAAAGTTTGGGGTCATAACCCATGAGCCATTTTTTTAAGAAAATTAAAACGTTTATTCAGCATGGATTTATTCAATTGATCAAAAATGACACTAAAACATTTATAATTTTACAAAAGATTATTATTTCAAATAAATACTGTTTTTATAAAACATAGGTTCCACACAAATATTAAGCAGAATAACTGTTTTCAACTTTAATAACAGAAAAAAAATCTGCATATTTGACACTGAAGACTGGAGTAATGGCTGCTGAAAATTCAGCTCTGCACCACTGGAATGAATTACATTTTAAAATATATTAAATTAGAAAACAGTTATTCTAAACTGTAATAATAATTCACAGTATTTACTGTATTTTAATTGGATAAATGCAGATTTAGTTGACCAAAGTCTTCTTTCAATAACTTACAAAAAAAAAATGCAGAAATTAATTAAAAATATTATTTCAAGTTATTGTTCATTATTAGTGCATGATACTTAATGCATTAACGACTCATAACTAATCTTTTATGGATGACTCCCCCCCTCCCCATGTATATTTAGGTCAAAGAAGTGTCTGAATCTCAGTGTAAAATTTGATATCAAATCAATCAAAATTCAACCAAAAAGCTTTTTAGCCATTTTTCCTGGATTCAGTGCTGGCTGAGATTTATAGTTCTTTATAGTGCAACATAGTGTCTCCCCATTAGCCTTGACTAACAGAATTCTGTGCTAACTTTAGAGAGTCATCAGCTCTTTTCTTCATCTTTTTGTTATTTCATCAAGATTGAGAATAGTGTGAGACTGAACGATTGCTAAGCAGCATATGATTACCTGTTCTGAAGTCTTTGTGCTGTTTGTGGAAATGTTTACTCATATTTGGATGTACTGTACTGTAGGCCCTTGTTTAACATGTGACGTAATTCCCTCCCTCAGCATCCGTCATGTTTAACTTCCCCGATCAGCCCACAGTGAAGAAGGTGGTCCACAGTCTTCCTTGCGTTGGCGTCGGCACAAGTTACGGCCTTCCACAGGCCAGGCAAGTCTGTTTCTAGTTCCCTGGAACACCTGCACGTGGTTGCCATTCAAAATATTGTTCAAAACAATGTTTACTTCGTCCTTATTTTGTTTAAAAGTTTAGCATGATGACCACATCAAATGTCAGAAACGACTGATCCTGAATGTACTCCTTTGCTGTGCAACTGTTTGGAATAATTTGAGGTGGAGCTAGTTACTTGCGGCATGGGCGTTTTTGCATGTTTGACTCTGACTGAACCTACCAAATGATCCCATATTCTTTTGTTGGTTTCAACTGAAGTCCATGCTAGTCATAATAAGTGCAGTAACATGTAGACATTGTACAGTACAAACTAAAATATCTATCTAACTAATAAATATCTAAGTACTAATCTATCTGTCTATCTATCTATCTATCTATCTGTCTATCTGTCTGTCTGTCTGTCTGTATGTATGTACAGTAGATAGACAGATAAAAACAGAGCTTAAATTTAACACTCGCCAAGCATTAAATGAGAGTATAAATTAGCATATGAAAATATGAAACGGTGGCTTTTAAAAAAATATTCTAACAATGCCTAAAAACAATGGTTTAGCGTGGTTATCAAATCGCAAAGTCTGTTCTTTGTCTTTCTCTTGGTTTTCCATCAATATAAAAACAAACACATAAATCGTATATAGTATACTATAATATTATTATTATTATTATTATTAAATGCATCACAGTAGTATTATAGTGATATTTCATTATTTATTTGTTAATTTTTATTAACACCCAATTAGTTCTGCCTGTTATATATATATATATATATATATATAT